CCCGCGCCTCCCCCCCCCGGCCCCCTCCTCCCCACACCCCAATCACATAATGCACCCCCCCCGCCGGGCGGGGGCCCCCCCCCGGGGTTGGAGTTTGGTTATACAGCAGGTGCTCAATGAATGGATGCTGTTTCGTAATCATCTAAAAGGAATTCATGTTCCACTGGCACTTTTGGTATTTTGGCAGATGCTGCTGGGGCCCTGCCCACATCCCCTCATATTTCCCCTACACACCTTCCGTTGCTCTGCCCAGGGTCTTTCTCTGGTTGCAAATTAAACGGCTCCTCCTGGGAGCAGCCCTTGATTATGACTGATGGGCCTTGGAGGATAAATACCCCGGCTCTCCCCTCAGGTGGAAAGAGGCGGCAGTATGTGCTCTCTGCTGCCTCCTGCTGGTCCTCAAGGGAACTGTGCCCCTTTTGCCCACAGTGGGAACTGGCTCCATTAACACACCTTGTACTGGCTGCCTTCTGGCTCCCGCCTCACTCCTCTCCCCCACACTGAGTTCCCTGGGTTTCCAGATAAATTCCTCGCACTCAGTCCTGATCTCAGGCTGTGCTTCTGGGGGGAGTCCAAATGAAGGCAACTTTCTAGGCGTCTGGCCATAGGCTTTAGCCCCTGGACGACAAGGGTCCCTCCCTCCCACCCCATTGCCTAAACTGCACATGGTGAACTTCACCCAAACCAGAGGGGGCGGCTTCACGCAGGCCCCTGGGGGATGGTCGGGGGCGGGGAGGATGGAGCCCTAAGCCGCTTCATTTACCAGAAGATCGACGGGGGTTACAAAAACCGCACAGCACAACTGGGCTGGGCAGGTCCCGCGTCTGAACCTACGCCACGCTCCCCTCTGCCCTGGGAGGCCGGATGCACGGTACTCCTGTTTTGTAGATGTGGAAACAGGGGAAAAAGGCCATGTGCCTTGCTTGAGGCCACGCAGCTAGAAAGGGGTTTGCACCCTGATATGGGCACGCCAGAGCCTGATTGCCGCCCCCGCCCCATACGTGTTCTGTGAGCCATCCTGGTGGCATCCCCAGGACCGAAATGCAGAGTCGGTGCCCTTGCCCTGGCTGCGGGGTGCCTCCCCTTTCTGCCTGTTGTTCAACACTAGATGCATCTTGGACTCCCCTTGGGGCACTCATTAAAGATACGGATTCAGATGGGGCGCCTGGGTGGCGCAGTCGGTTAAGCGTCCGACTTCAGCCAGGTCACGATCTCGCGGTCCGTGAGTTCGAGCCCCGCGTCAGGCTCTGGGCTGATGGCTCGGAGCCTGGAGCCTGTTTCCGATTCTGTGTCTCCCTCTCTCTCTGCCCCTCCCCCGTTCATGCTCTGTCTCTCTCTGTCCCAAAAATAAATAAAAAACGTTGAAAAAAAATTAAAAAAAAAAAAAAAAAGATACGGATTCAGGGGCTCCCACCTGACCAAGTGAGCCTGAACTTCCGGGGCTGGCTCTGGGGGGATCATTCAATTTTAAGGCCTCATGGCGACCCTTCCTGGCATTTATGGGGCACTCACTCCATGCCAGCCCTCACCCTCAGCCTTCAGGCACACTGGGGTTCGCAAGGGCTCTTCTGAGGAAGAGGCAGAGGACGGGCCCTCGCGATGGAGAGGTGAGGTGACACAGTCCGGATGTGAGTTGAATCAAGGCCTCTCTGGTGTCCAAACTAACACCCTTTGCCACCTTGGGAATCCAGCCTCCACCTCGCTGACAGCCTGGCGAGGCCACAGGCTGTGGGCCACTCTCCTCAGAGAGGTGGACAAAGTGGGTGGGCAAGAGGGAAGCATCCTGTTCTAAGTCTGAGCTTGGCCACTCACGGGGGACCTTCTAGAAGGTCCCATCACACACCCATCAGTTCAGTTCAGGCCTTATTGGCTTTTTTTTTTGGGGGGGGGGTGCTGTGAACCTCCCTGGCCTCCTGGGAAGACCTTCTCAGAGGAAGCTTTGTAAATGCATAAAATAAAATACCCAGGATTGCAAGGGCACCTGTTACACCGAAATACAATTATCAAAAACTATTTTTAAACGGTGATCTAATGATTAACGCACTTCTTCATTAACACATGAAATAATTTCCGGCGGTAGGTTTGACGGTCACCGGCGTTCGAAGCAGGCTGAACACGAACAAAAATTTGGAGGAACCTGCTGCCTCTGTCATGCGCTATGGAAAGACCTGATTTTTATCGGTGACACAGAGAGTTCTGGTCACACTGCAGGGGTTGGTCTGCCTTCAAGATGGAAGGAAATGTTAACGTCCAGTTAGTGGCTTGTGAAAACTAGAGACGTGATCTGCTCACGTCTAATTTCACAGCTCTCCCCCCCGCGCCCCCCCCCTTCCCCTGCACCCACGGATCAGTGGGCTTCAGGTTAAGACCACTTGCATTAGTCGGAGATGAAGACAGGCTAGGGGGCGACCAACTGCATTTAGAAAAGAAAAGCTCCGCCATCAGTGGAAGAGCCCGTGACGCAGGCAGAGACGGGATTTGGATTCTGGAAAACTTCACGTCGGTTGTCTATTTGCGCGTCTGGGTGCTGCCTCCCTCGCAAAAGGTACGCCTGACTGTGGATTGTGGTTAGAACGGCTGGGACACCACGGACTTGGCCCGGTCCGGATCTCAGTTTCCTTAAACTGGATGGTAATCGCCGCCCCCCCGCCCCCCCGCCCCCCAGTTTGGATCGCTCTGAGGAATGACGGCAGGTGCATGCGCCTGGCAAGGGCTGGGTCTCCTTGCTGTTACCTGGCAGACGCAGGAATGACTAACAAGGGTCTGTGGGCACTGGAGGGATGCTCAAGCTGCCGCTGCGGTTGGGGAGATCATCACCCACCATCCCCGACCCACGGCTCTAGCCCCAAGGCCGTACTTACCAGAATCCCGAAAGCCATGACTTTCAGCAGACATTCCAGAGAGAAGAGGGAGGTGAAGACGATGTTGAATACCCTCAAAGCGTTTTCATAAGCAACCGAGGCCCCGTAGAACTGGAGTAGAGAGGAGGAAGGACGCTGGGGTCAGCGGGCAGGGGGGGAGCTGGGGAGGCGGCTCTGTGACTGTCCTGTCCTGGGGCAGGCGAGACCTGGACACTGGCCTTCCCGACATGCTGTTGGAGGTGACCCAGGCCCCCCCGGCCAGCTGTTCCTGGGCTGGGCTAATCTTTTCACATCCAAACACGCACTTTCTTGAGTCCCACCTTAGCACCCCAGATCCCAGGACCGCCTGCTTAATGCAGCTCCGGATGGAATGCAGGAGGAGGTCTGTGGCATCCTCTCTGCGGGGTTTTCTTTTCTTTTTTTTTTTTTTTTTTCAGATCTTCTATGTATTTATTTTGAGAGAGAGAGCAACAGCACAAGAACAGGGGAAGGGCAGAGAGAGAGAGTGAGGGAGAGAGAGAATCCCAAGCACTGTTAGGGCAGAGCCCGATGTGGGGCTTGAACCCACGAACCGTGTGATCACGACCTGTGCCGAAACCAAGAGCACGAGGCTTAACCCACTGAGCCGCCCAGGCGCAGCGCCCCCCCCCCTTTTTAATCCTTAGCTGTGCACTCCCATGAGACTGCCCCCCAGAACACTTCCAGCACCCCCAAAAGTTTCCTTGCACCCTTTCCCAGTCAGTAACCTGCCCCAGAGATAACTGCTACTCTAAGACTTCCTTATGAGGTCTTCTTGCCCAGACTATTTAATTATATTCAAATTTATAACCTTCAGCCCTGAGGACCAGGTTACAGGAGACACGGCAGGTGGGAGAAGTCACAATACCCCATGAGGAGACTAACGCACCCACAGGTGGGACAGTTTTCATTCAACTTATCTGGTTTCCTCAAAAAGTCAACAGCATGGGGCAAGAAAAAAAAAAAAAAACGGTATGGGGAAGACAGTGATTTAAAAGACAACAGCCAGGGGCGCCTGGGTGGCTCAGTGGGTTAAGCATCTGACTTTGACTCAGGTCACAAGCCCTGCGTCGGGCTCTGTGCTGACAGCTCAGAGCCTGGAGCCTGCTTCGGATTCTGTGTCTCCCTCTCTCTCTGTGCACCCCCGCATTTGTACTCTGTCTTTCTCCCTCTCTCTTAAAAATAAACATGAAAAAATTAATAAAAAATAAAAGACAACAACCAGAGGCCATGTGTAGCCCTTTGGATCTTGGCTCAGAGAACAACCCATACTGTAAAAGATACTTTGGGGACAATTCAATACGTATCTTAGAGAAATCTTGTCAAGCATAAGAATATATAGGAAAAAAAAAAAGAATATATAGGAAAATTTCTTATTTCTTTTTTTTTTCTTATTTCTTAGAAATACATACCGAAGAATTTAAGCGTCCAACTTCGGCTCAGGTCACGATCTCACGGCTCGTGGGTTCGAGCCCCGTGTCAGGCTCTGTGCTGACAGCTCAGAGCCTGGAACCTGTTTCAGATTCTGTGTCTCCCTCTCTCTCTGCCCCTCCCCTGCTTGCACTCTGTCTCTCTCTCAAAAATAAATAAACATTAAAATAATTTTTAAAAATCGATGAAATTGGGGCGCCTGGGTGGCTCAGTTGGTTGAGCGTTGGACTTTGGCTCAGGTCATGATCTCGGGGTATGTGAGTTCGAGCCCCTGGTTGCTCTGTGCTCACAGGGCAGAGCCTGCTTCGGATCCTCTGTCTCCCTCTCTCTGCCCCTCCTCTGGTCATGTGTGCAAGCGCCCTCGCTCTCTCTCTCTCTCTCTCTCTCTCTCTCTCAAAATAAATAATCATTAAAAAAACAGATGAAATGTCCAGAATAGATAGATCCACAGAGACAGAACACAGACTGGCAGTTGCTGGAGGCTGGGGGAGGGGGATGGGGGCGGTGACTGCTCACGGGGACGGGTCCTCCTTTTGGGGTGATGAAAATGTTCTGGAAGTAGGGAGAGGTGATGGTTGCGCAGGGTGGTGACTGTACGAAACTGCCCCTGAATTGCACACTTTGAAATGGTTAATTTTTTTTTTTTTTTTTTTTTAAGGAGGCTCCATGCTGGACACGGAAGCCCACCTTGGGGCTTTAACTCCCAACCCTGAGTTGAGGTCAAGAGTCAGATGCTTGACCGACTGAGCCCCCCAGGTGCGCTTGAACTGGTTAATTTTATGTTATGTGAATTTCACCTCACAACAACGACAACCACAAAAAAAAAAAAAAGTGAGAGAGAGAGAGAACAGATGAAGCCAACACAGAGCATGTTCCAAATGGGCACCTCTGGGTGACGGAGACCGGGTATTCAGGGACCCGCAGCAATCCCAGGGGATGCTGATTAGAATTTCAGAATCCTGGCCCCACCCCGGATCTTCTGGACGAGAATCCACATTTTACCAAGATCCCTAGATGATCCGTGAACGCACAGCAGTTCGAGAAGCGCTGTGCTGTACTATTCCTTTCTGTCTGTTTGGAACCGTTTAAGGATTATAACGATGGAAAGAGAAAAGAGCTTGCTTGCGGAGAAGCGTTTCAAGCAAACGCAGGCACTGGTTTTTCGCCAATTCAAAAGTTGGCAGCTTAGGGACCGCGTGTTTTCAAAGTGCCGAGACATGTGCCCATGTCTTTGCCTGGACTTCCTCATTCAATCCTCACCCCCGCTCGAGGTCGGGAGGAAGGTGCCGTTATTATCGTCCTCGTTTCATTGACGGGGAAACTGACGCCTGATAGTTGCTGGCCCCTGGCGCCAAGTTAAATGCTAAGTCAAACAGCGGGCTGGGCTTAAATCCTGCCCTTTGGTCTTTAGACCACAGGGTGCCAGGTCCTGGCTTTTCACCCGGAAGGGACTCCACTCCGCGGCCCCAAGGGTTGCAAGGTCCTTACCTGCCCCTCCTTTCTCATTTCACCCATCGCACGTTTCTTGAGGGCCTCCTGTTCCCTCACGCCCAGGGATGTGCCGAACCCCAGGAATTCAGGGCTGAGTGGGACTTGCCTGGCCCCTGTGGAGCTCACAGGCCAGTGGGGCAGACGGCTGGGCAACCCAACACCGACATTACGGCCCGTGGGAGAACCGCTAGATGGGTGCCTCGTGCCGCTGCGGGAGGCCAGGGAGGGCTTCCTGGAGGAAGGTCCCCGCAGGTGACGTCGGAAGGGGCTCGGTCTGGGAGACTCGTGGCAGGCGGCTCCGCTCTGCCGGTGGGCGGGGGGGGGGGGGGGGCGGGCGGCCTTGGGAGGTGTGGGCGGTGCTGGGGGCTCACCTTCATCATGAGCACGATGGTGTTGAGGGCGATCATGGCCATGATGGTGTACTCGAAAGGCGGGGACACCACGAACTGCCACATGCGATACTGGAAGCTTTGCTTGTTCTGTGGCATGTGTCGGGTCAGCGGTTTGGCACTGATGGCGAAGTCGATGCAGGCCCTCTGCGGGAGACAGGCCGGCGGCTGGACACGGGGCACCCCCCCCACCCCCCGGCCCTCGGGCACGTCAGCCGAGCCTGCCCCCAGCCAGGATTCCTCACGCCCGCTGGGTCTTCTCGCCCGCTTCCTCCTGCCAACACCCGCGGTTCCCTAAGAAGTCGTCATCTGCCCACGTGGGATGCCATCAGCAACCCTGCTTTGCAGGCTCAGAGAGGCTGAGTCACTTGCCTGAGGCAGCACAGCTGCCAAGCGGGCCAAACCCGAACCTAACCGTTCTTTCCTACTGAGCTCTTTGCTTTGTTTCCTCCTTCCCTTCGAAGGACGGAGGGATAATGGCCATTCAGTGTGAGGGGCCAACAGAGCAGAGGAAGGATGCATTCCCAGGTCCTCCACCTGGCTGAGCTCGGACGGCTCTAGAAGAGCCAAGGGCCACATCTGCGCTCTCTCGGGAGGACTGGAGTTTCACTCACAAATATGCACCACCCTGCCCTCGGGGAGATTACACTTCGCCACCCCACGGACATCAGACACAGATGTGTGACTTCCTCTGGCCAGTGAGATGTGGATGGGTGGGTGGAAGGGTCGCTTCCGGGCACAGATCCCCCCCCCACCCCCCCGCCCCCGAAAGTGCACAGTGGTTTGCCATTATCTCTTCTTGATCTGAAGTGTCTCGGAGAGCAACCAGGATAAAGGTAACGTGGACCAGAGCCGCCTGGACGTGCGGTGCTGGGCAAGAAATCAATCGATTCCTGTGTGGGCATCTGGCACGGAGATTCCGGACATGCTTGTTACTGTGGCCTAACCTCGTCTGAACTGACTGATACATACGCCTTCTTTCGGTGTGTTTTCCTCTGGCAACCCCATGAAGGGCGGCCCTACAGACCGAATGCTGCCTGGAGGATGCTGCTGTGCCCTCCCCAGATGCCCCCAGCAGCTGTTTCCTGGACGCACGCGTGTGCCTGTGTGTGGGCCTGCGATGGGGGGGCGGGAGCTGTCAATTTTTAAGTGAAGGATGCAACTGGGAAGCGGCACCTCATTTTTCTCCAGGCTGTATTCCTCCATCATCTTGTCCCCCTGCTCCTGGAAGGTGATGATGATCAAGGCCACGAAGATATTGACGAAGAAGAAGGGAAACACCACGAAGTAGACGACGTAGAAGATGGACATCTCCATGCGGTACCCGGGGCTGGGGCCCTGGTTCTCAAAGGTGGCGTCCACGGAGTGCTTGAGGACCCTGGGAGGCGCGGAGCGGGGGGGAGGGGGAAAGCGGGACAAGCAACGGGAGTGCAGGGAGACGTTAAAAGAAATAGTCATTATTTTCCGACCCCGATTCCTGTGGTGATTTTACGAAGCCAGAAGACCTTCCCTCCTCCTTCGTCTGGGGGGGAGTGTGGCCAACGCTCTCAGTTACCTCTCCCACCGCGTCCCGAGGGCTATCAGGGGCTAGAAATGATTTTATCTATGTCCTTGGCAACCCTCTCAGGGAGGTCGTTACTGGCCCCATTTTGCAAATGAGGAAACTGAGGTTTGGCAGTTTAAAGTGACCTGTCAAAGTTCACCCACTAAGGCCTGGCCAAGTTGGGATGGGAAACCAGGCCGGTGGGGACGGATGGGAGGGTGTATGGGAGTCATGGAGGCACACACCTAAGTGCGTGTGTGCTGGGGGGGGGGGGCATTTAAGCACAGGTGGTGGTGCTGGGAAGGTGTGGTGGGGATGAACATGGGAGTGTGTGTCTGCAGAGCTGCTCTGAACAGCTGCACAGGTTGTGCACTGCTCAAGGGCTCTGTGTCTCAGGGGTGCCATTCGTACTGGAGACATGATAGATTTGTGCATTTACGAGGACAACTTTTTGGCAGGTGGCCACGAAGTACCTTATTTGAACAAAATCCTTCGGTACATTCCGACAACATTCTGACAGATGGAAGTGAAATCTGTTGAGGAAGCGCTGCCGAAAAAATTTGCCCAAAGGTGCCGTATGGGCTAGCACTGGCCCCGTGTGCATGGGTCCGGCCCTGGACTTGCACAATTCAGCCTCACCACAACCCTGACTGGCCCTGTCTGGGTGAGGAACGGTCCTGTGGTCAAAGGGACTTGGAAAATGCCACGTCCAGGCCTTGTCCTTGGAGATCTGTGCTCACCAGCACAGAAAGGGTTAAGAGGACGTGACTGCCTGCGTCCACGGAGCCCTTCTGCAAATTAGAAACCGCACCCCATCTGGGAGGGTGCGGGGCCCTGACTCTTAGGGTTCGGCGAACTGCACGGAGGGAGGCCTGCGTTTCGGCCCCAAACGAGCCCAGGCTGCTGTTCTGGTGACGGGGCCCCTCGTGCACCCAGCGGGGTCTCCACCTCGGGAAGCCGGGAGCAAACCCCTCCTGGTCCAGGCCTTTCTCGGCGCTGGGCTCTCAGACCCTTCCCCATCCTGCTCCCCGGGGGCCCCCGACTCCCCCGTGGCGCTGTCTGGTGGGCCACTTACTGTGGCCAGCCTTCTCCCGTGGACACAGTGAAGAGAGTCAACAGAGCCCAGAGCACGTTGTCATAATGGAACTCATACTTCTTCCACTGTCTGTCCCGGGCCTTCACCTCGTTCTTCTCGTACAGGAGGTACTTGCCGCTGATGCAGAAAATAGGGGCCGTTACTCAACGGAGGAAGGGGAGCCTCATCTTTGGTGACCAGAGGTCAGAGGACGAGGAGGCCCACCAGCCCACACGGCATCCCTCAGCCCAGGGAGTGGAAGCCCCCCGTGCGGCTCTCTGATGGACGTGCGCACCCCCTCGGAGGTCGTCACATGAGGCCACGGCCCCTGCTCCCAGCGGGAGAGCTGACTCAGGACCCAGCACTGTCTTCCAACATGAAAACTTCCAGTCCTGCGGGGGGGGGGGGGGGCCCCAGGCTTGGGGGGTCGCTGAGAGCAGGGAGAGAGACAGGAACTTTTCTGGGTCCATCAGGCCGAGGGGGACGGGGGCTGCTCCTTTTTAGGGCAGCGATACAAGGCTTAGCCCCGGACCCGTGGCCGAATGGAGTCCTTCCAACGTCAGGAAACAGCCTCCGAGATAACGACAGGCTGCCCGTAACATTTTACACGGCGACAGCATGTACTGGGCACGTCGGTAAGGGCCTAGCGATTTCCATCATGAGGGGGCGCCCGGGTGGCTCAGTCAGTCAAGCGTCTGACTTCAGCTCAGGTCATGATCTCGCGGTTCATGAGTTTGAGCCCCGCGTCGGGCTCTCTGCTCTCAATGCAGAGCCTGCTTCACCCAGCTCCTCTGTCTCCCTCTCTTTTTTAAATTTTTATTTAATTAATTAATTATTTATTATTTATTTATTTTTTCAATATATGAAATTTATTGTCAAACTGGTTTCCAAGTCTCCCTCTCTTTACTCCTCCTCCACCCTCTCTGTCTCTCAGAAATAAATAAACATAAAAAAAATTAAAAAAGAATTTCCATCATGAAGATGATCCAAAGACAGGCGGGGCGGGACTCCAGGCCCACAAGTTCTCGTCCACAACTCCAAAGTCTAGAAAGTTCTGAAAACCAAATATCTTCCTCTTAACTCAGAGGGTGAACGTTATGGCTTGCAGACCGAATCTGCACCTGTTTCTGTACGGCCCACAAACTAGGAACGGTTTTCTACGTTTCCAAGTGGTTGAAAGCAAATCGAAAGAATGCATTCGTGACAGATGAAACTTACACCGACATTCAAGTTTTCGTTTCTAGAAATAAAATTTTAGGGGAGCCTGGCTGGCCCAGACGGAAGAGCATGCGACTCTTATCTCAGGGCTGTGAGTGAGTTCAAACCCCACATTGGGTGTAGAGATTACTAAAAAATAAAGAAATAAAAAATATAGAAATAAAATTTTATTGGAACCTTTGTTTATGTGTTGTCTGGCTGCTGTGTCATTTTTTTAATGTGTATTTATTTTTTAGAGAGACAGCGGGGGGCAGGGGGGGCAGAGACAGAGTGTGAGTGGGGGAGGGGCAGAGAGAGAGGGAGACACAGAATCTGAAACAAGGCTCCAGGCTCCGAGCTGTCAGCACAGAGCCTGACGCGGGACTTGAACCTACAAACCGTGAGATCATGACCCCAGCTGAAGTTGGACGCTTAATCGACTGAGCCACCCAGGCGCCCTTGGCTGCCCCGTGTCACGATGGGAGCTGCAGCTGAGACCATGGACTCCATAAAGGCAGAAGTGACGCGCCATCTGGCCCTTGGCGGACAAAGTCCGTCCACCTCTCATCTAATTCGTTTGGCGACAAAGCCTGACCCCCTGGACCTGAAGCCCTTTATACTTGCTTTTCGTCCATTTGCTGCAAAGTGACGTGACTCCCAGCCCCCCCTCCCCCAAAAGTTTGATTACAGGGATGCCTTAGACCCAGCGGAGAGAGTCACGTCCTGCGTGGAACACGCGGTACACGATCTTTCTCAAACAACTGCAAACTATTCTGAATTTTGAAACACATCTGCCCGTAAAGGTTTTCAAACAAGGGGACTAGGACGCGTGTCAATAACCCCCAGGTCGATCCCACGTGGCGACTGAATGAAGAGTTAAGCAGCCAGCTTAGGGCGCATCCTACCTAGAGCTCCAACCCCGACGCTTGTCCTCCCTACTCCAGACCCCAGCGGGCGGCCCCTGGCTCACTTCCGGAGCCCAACACTCCAGTCGCCAAGCCCGGTGGCTCGTGCTTCCGGCCGCCCCGCCCCACTCCCGCCAGCCCCTCGGTGGGGGCACCGAGGAGAGCGGAGACCCACCGACAGTCTTTCTCAAACTCCTTGGATTCGTCCGTGCAGTGGAAGAACTTCCCCTTGAACAGCTGCACGGCCACCACGGCGAAGATGAACATGAACAGCATGTAGACGATGAGGATGTTGAAGACGTTCTTGAGCGAGTTCACCACGCAGTCGAACACGGCCTGGGGGGACGGGGTGGGGTGGGGTGGAGGGGAGAGCGCGCGTGAGGGACTGGGGGCCTGCCCGGTCAGTTGCCTCCAGCAGCCCACGATCATCGTTCCATTTCACCGACCAGGCCTCACGCCCAGTCACGCGGTTAAGGCCCCGCGGCTCTGGGAGGTAGGTGCTGGGGCTGCACTCAGCCCTGGCTTTCCGTGCATCTAATCCCCGCCCCCGCCGTTTTCAACTCCCGGGAAACGGGGCGGCTTCTCTGAGCCTAAGACAAGCTCACAGCTCTTCAGGGCAGGAGGAACGGGCAGACAAGGAATTTCCTGTTAATTCTGTGTCCCTGCTTGACTCGTGGCCCTTTTTCCCATCCCCTGGAGCTGCGCTCTCACGCCCTTTGGACCGCTGAGCAGTAGGGGGCGCTCTGCCGGTGAGAGCCGACTTCACGTGCCCGGGAGATCCTGCCCTGGGTGACGTGGAACCCTCTCACCATCTGCCCAAGAAGGCAGGGGTCCAGGCCCGGAATGTCTCCCACCCCGTTCTGCTTCTAACCGCAGCGGGTCCTAACCACAAGCGGACAAGGGTCCTCGAACCTACTGGAACTACAGGCTGGCTTTGGCAGCTTTCCCCAAGGGAGAGTGTGCATAGCTTTCCTGGGGGCTTTTATTTATTTATGTTTTATCTAATTTGATTAATTAATTAAATATTATTTTTCAGAGGGAGAGAGACAGAGTGAGAGCGGGGGAGGGGCAGAGAGCGTGGGAGACACAGAATCCGAAGAGGGCTCCGGGCTCCGAGCTGTCAGCACAGAGCTGGACGCAGGGCTTGAACCCACGAACCGTGAGATCATGACCTGAGCTGAAGTCGGACGCTTAGCTGACTGAGCCACCCAGGTGCCCCTCATGGGGGCTCTTAGAGGGGGCCGTGACCCAGGAAAGGGTGAAGAACCCCAGAACTGAATACTGCTGGGCCTCTCCGTATTTCAATGCAAGCAAGCTTTCACGTCCAAAGGGCGGCCACCTATTGGCTAGCGATAGTGCCAAAGTCCTGGTGACAGGGGGCATTTCTTTAGGGCCTGCAGGAGCCCGACACTAAATAGTGCTGAATCGCACGGCAGCGAACTTAATCACTTCCCTCGTCTTCAATCCTCTCGAGCGAGCTAGAAGGTCATGCTTAATTGCTACTGTTAACACCTAACCCTGATACTTCTTTTCCTTTTCAGCCTGCGTTCAAAGTCCTTTCCAGGTAATCTTTTTGGCCGGATCTTATTTATTTATTTTGAGAGAGCGCGCCTGCGCGAGCAGGGGAGGGGCAGAGAGAGGGAGAGAGAAAGAATCCCGAGCAGGCTCCACAAAGTCAGCGCAGACGAACCGCGAGATCATGTGGGCCCTGAGCTGAGATCAAGAGTCGGATGCTGAACCGACTGAGCCACCCAGGCACCCCTCTTAGGCTAGATTTTTTTTTTTTCTTTTTTCTTTTTTTTTTCTTGGGACAGAGAGAGACAAAGCATGAACGGGGGAGGGGCAGAGAGAGAGGGAGACACAGAATCGGAAACAGGCTCCAGGCTCTGAGCCATCAGCCCAGAGCCTGACGCGGGGCTCGAACTCCCGGACCGCGAGATCGTGACCTGGCTGAAGTCGGAGGCTTAATCGACTGCGCCACCCAGGCGCCCCTAGGCTAGATTTTAAGAACAGTATCTTGTCTTTTGGGAACATGTGTAGTTTTATCTTCTGTTGGGTTCTTTCTGCTCTTCCCGCTTGAGAACCTTGACGCGGAATTTCTTTTTAAAATACGTTCACAGGGGCGCCTGGGGGGCGCAGTCGGTTAAGCGTCCGACTTCAGCTCAGGTCACGATCTCGCGGTCCGTGAGTTCGAGCCCCGCGTCGGGCTCTGGGCTGATGGCTCAGGGCCTGGAGCCTGCTTCCGATTCTGTGTCTCCCTCTCTCTCTGCCCCTCCCCCCTTCATGCTCTGTCTCTCTCTGTCTCAAAAATAAATAAAAACGTTAAAAAAAATTTTTTTTAAATATGTTCACTGAAATTTAAAAAAGTGATCAAGGAAATAAACATGAAGAGAGGATACAGGTGGTCCTCAGGTGGAACACCAATTGGAAAGATGCGTTTGAATGACTAGGTTTCATTTCCTTTTCTTTTCTCCTGAATGACAAGCTCTGGGAACTACTGGTTCACACTGCTGAGGAACAGGAGATGCTCGAACCTAGAACTGGTAGGTGAAAAGTCAAAAGCTACGTGGGACCAGAAACCTAGTTTCTTGCTTCCCACATTAGGGTTGTGCCCGACTGTTATCCATACGACAGCTTCGTGGGAATTAGGAAAGGGGATCCTGACCTCAAGACGCTTCATCTAATGGAAAATTGTCATAATACACAGATTCTGTCAGGTCAACGCACTTTACTGCCATCTGCTGGAAAGCTGTAATAATAAATACATCCATCTACGATGGATGTGATGTTACCAGCACCCCTTTCAGTGTCGCGTCCTTGAGCAGCGCTCAACCTGCCCAACTGTACACGGCAGCAACCCTGACGGGCCTCCCACCTGCCCCAATCTCACCTTGAGCTTTGGCAACCGCTTGATGGTTTTAAGAGGTCGTAGCACCCGGAGGACTCGGAGGGACTTAATTGTGTTGATGTCCTTTCCTTTGCTGTTGCCACTGTGGAGGGACGTTAGGGTACGGAGAGGGGAAAAGAGGGAGCAGAAGTCAGTCTGGGTGGGGGGTGGCCCACAACTCCACGTGACGCTGCCCTCTCAGGCCCAGGAGTCTGGCGTGAGCCTGGCACCGGCCTGCCCTTGCTGGGGAAGAGTGGTGAGCACCCCTGCTGTGTTTGGGCTCAAGAGGTAGCCAGCAGACGGCCTTCTGTGGTCCCGGTCTCAGGACTTGTTAAGGGCCCTCCACCACTTGGCTGGGCCTGTGTAACTGCATGGGGTGGCCCTCAGACCCAGCATGGGGCGGCCGGTGGCACCTGTGGGCTCTCGTTGGTGCCGGAGAGCGGGATTCCCTGCCTCCCCTCCCAACAGGATCCAGGAACGCGTTAACGTGGCCCGCCCCCAATATTCCCCGAGCCCGCGCGAAAGCAAAGAACCGGGACGTCAGAGGCTGACGTTGAACCTCTGCCAGGGTCTCCGGCCTCATTCTTCCAGGGTCTCTCTCTTAACCCATCTTTTCTACGGGGTTCAGTGCACGCTCTGCTGGACCGGGGCCCTAGCCATACAGCCCCTGCAGAGGCCGTGATACCCTTAGCCAACCACGATTCAGGTCCCCCAAAAGGAGGGCATTGGGTGCGGCCATCAGAGGCCTGCGGTTAATAGAACTCACCACCCGCCAGTCGCCCAAGCCAGAAACCCGGGTCCCGTTCAGCTGTCTGTCCTCCATCCCCAGTGGGTCACCCTCCTGACCTCTCCATCATCGTCCCTGGCCATCGTCTTGTGCTGGAGTCCCACTACCCATTTCCCAGCTCCCCCCCCCCCCCCCCCCCCCCCGCTCCCTGTCTCCCTCTCCTTCCACCTTTTCCGCACACGGTGGTTCAAAGCCAATGACCATGTCACTCTCCTTCTCAGAATCCTTCTGGAGAAATCTGAATGCCTAGAACTGCAAGCTTTTGGCTCGGCATTCAAGGCTCTTCAAAACCTAGCCCAACTTACCTTGCCTTTGCATTCCCATCGACTGCTACACACCCCAAGCCCCAGCCAGACTCTTTGCCTCTGTTTGTTTTTGCGCCTACTGTCCCTGCCGCTAGAAATGCCCTCCTGCCACCTGTCCGCTCCCAGGACTATGCAGCCTTCGCAGCCAAGTTAAGTGGCCCCTTTAGCCGACAGCCTCCCCTGATTGCCTGCGGGTGCTACCAGACCCTACTGCTGTTTCACAATCATCTTTGCTTCGTCTTTGGCTTCTGGCTTTAGAGAGAGAACTTCTCAAAGGCTTAAACCGTGACCTATTCTTCTACGGTTCATTTTCCCTTTGATCTTGGTTCTTGTCCCAGCGCCCGCCGTGTGCCTGGCGTGCGATCTCAGGACACACGTGAACGGATCCAGATCAGAGTTCTTTGAGGGTCTCCTAGCGAACATCTCCCCAGAGTCACCTCGTGGGTCAGGTGTAAAACTCCCAGAGACCCCTCCCACTGTGTTTCTGGATAAACCCCCCCCCCCCCCGCTTTTTTTAAAGATCTCTTTTCTCTTCATTTTTCAGGGAACAAAGAGCAGGAACTGAACTTAACCCTGCGGGGCACAGCCATGCTCCAGGATTCCGCTGGAACACGTTCTTCCCTTTTGAAACCCAAAGTCACCGTTATCTCAAGGCCGTGCCCCTGAAATACGAGATGCACGTCAAGAGAGCCACTGAGATAATCTGAAGCAGGACAGGGACACAATTTGGATCGCACGGGGAAACGGCTATTTCTTCTTTCAGGCCTTTTGCTTTGGGAAGAGCGGAAGTCTCCGTACTAAAACATCAAGCAAGGGGGCATCTAGGTCGTGAGCGGGACCGGCTAAAATCCCGAAGTGCCGAAGGCCTGACATTTGGAAGCAGGACTCCCGTGGGCAGATCCACTCCTCGGAAAGTGACTCCCCGGCCATCGGGGGGCCCTCTCTCCCAGAAGGCGCTGTGTGCCCTCTGGCCAGGCTGAGAAACAATCTTGTTTACGGAGGCACTGAGGAGTGTTCCTGGCGGGTTGGATCCTGAGCCTGCAGGAGTGGCTTGATCAAGGCGTTCTCACAGAAAACCACCCGCTTTTTGAACCACTTTGCTGAGAGTGTAGATGTTCGTTCTCCCTTCTCCCACCCTTCTCCCATCTCGGGGTCTGGACACGCTTACTCCTTCGGGAATCACCTCCCCGTGCTTGTCTGCCCCCCCTCCCTCACGTCCCTTCTAATCTCTGCCAAGAACCAGACTAATGGTGGGGTGCAATGGGAAGCAGTTGCCAAGACCCCTGAGGGCTCCCCTCCCTGGGGAGAGACCGAGGGGGGGCTCTGGTCACTGCAAAAAACCGGACAGCAGCAAGGACACGAGGCCATGGAAAGAGGCCCAGAACCAACGTGGCTGCACCAGAGCACGGAGAACGAGAGACGAAATGAGAGAGAGAGAGACAGAGAGAGAACTTTACCGTGTACTGCTCCTGGTGAGGTGGCGTTGGTGGGAGAGACAGATCGTAAGCGGCCTCAGAAGAGAGAACACAGAGCACACACATACACGCACGCGCACCTGAGCGCCCCCTGCCCCACCCGGGCACTGGGTTGGGGCGGGGGCGGCAGCCTCAGGCTTGCGGCTCTGGCCGACGTCCATCCTTCCATCTGGAAGCCCCTGTTCGGTCCCCTGCCCTCGGCAGGCTCCCAGCACTGCCCAACCGCACCGAGAAAGCCAAATTTCCAAGTAGCTGGACAGCCAGAGAGTCATCAACTGCCGAAGGCGAATGCGCCCCTGAAGGTCACTGCCAAGAGCTGGAGAAAGAAAGCCCTTTCCTCCAGAGATCCCGGGGCTGGGAGGTTTTAGAACGGCTTGCCAGTTGGGAGCTTTGGAGTCGGGAGCACCAGGGTTTGGACCCCAGCTCTGCCTCTAAGGACCGTCCTCATCTGCAAAACAGACCCAGGGGATTCTGGTGCTTGACACACAATAGCCACGGCCTTGCCTGGACCCCCTACGTGACGAGGGACAGGGAGGTCAGTGGAGGGTTCCGATGTGGGCTGTGGTTAGAGCCGGCTCTCAGGAGTCCCGAGAAAACGCGAGCCTAGACGAAGCCACCTTCGCACAACTCCTCTTTGGCCTCAGGCTTGGCCTCGGTAGGACCCTCCGACCATGGCGGGAGGTCGAGGCCGAGAGACCCGACTGCGTCAGCGAATGGAAGCCTCGCCGCCGGGCGAGCACTGTCCAGGATCCCCCTCCCGCTGCCCCTCTCGAAGTTGGTGGTGTTTCTAACAACAGAACGGCTTAAATGCCTACAAATATTCCCGATGGGGTTTTTCCTCCCCCGCCCCCCTTTTTATTCTATCTCAGGGGTTCTCAAAGCTCAGCGTATCTAGGAATCGCTGCGCACATAGAATCGTGTCGCTTCTCCTTCGTGGACGGCTGACAGATCTTTCAAGGACAGTGACTTCTGCCTAACCTGCTGACTTCAGATGTAACCTGGGAGTCTCCTGAAGGTCCCCGTGCCTGTGGGAAGGTGGCACCGTTACGTCTGTTTTCCAGATGAGGAAGCTGAGGCCCAGAGCGGGGGAGCGACCTGCCCAAGGTCACCCAGCGAGATTCAAGCCCCGGTTCGTGTATCTCGGGCTCAAATCTTCTCCCCGTTTTAGTGCACACAAGAAAAATAATGCCTTCGGTGCAGGGGCTGTTTTGAGGGTAGGATAAGAAAGGTGGCAGCCTGAGGGCTCCTTCTTTGGCTTCCCGGCAGTTTGGCTCCCGAGCCTGCAGGAGTGGCTTGATCAAGGCGCTCTGCCAGCTGTGCCGGCCTGCCCTGAGGGAGGAGGGGCGGCGCCAGATGGACTCTTGGCAGTGAGGGCAGGATCGTGATCCGCCAGCTGCTGAGAAGTGTCAGGTGGACGCCCCGATGCATGGGCACAGCATGATATCATGTGTGATGGCTCATGAGATGCTATGTTAATGGCGGTCATGTGGACACGGCACGCAGTCCGTAGAAGGAGCAGGACGCACACACACACACACACACACACACACACACACACACACACACAGATCTGGGTGAGATGCAGGAGGGGGGTGGAGACTGTCAGCAGAGCTTCGACACATCCCTTGGAGGACCACAGGGATCGTTCTCCCACATCCGAGACGGGGCCACAATCACAGCGCTGAGGCAGAATCCTTGCCTCCACCCCAAAAGGCCAGAACATCAAGATTCTGAGCAGGCTCGTGTCCCCTTCCCCCGACTCTCGAGGAACCCAGGCCGGCTAGGCCGTCAAGTGCCATCCGGCTCACTGGTGGAAGCTTCCAGGTTCAGGGCTGGGACGCGGGCAGCAGCCCTGAGTCTGACAACCGAGGCCCACGGCAGCCATCGTGCCAGACTCGCTTCCCTCCACACGCCCTCTGGGCCTCAATTTTCTCATCTACAGAATGGGGATCACGAGACAGCTTCCCACAGGAGGCGGTGGTGAGGGGTTTTCTATTTTATGGGGAAACCGAGGCACGGAGCAGGCTAAGGGACCTGCACACTGGACACAAACCGGACAGGCTTCCAGGAACCTCTTTCTAAAGCAATGAGACTACTCTAACACCTGTTTGGGGTTCTCAGCCTTGTCTATGAGAAGATGGCACAGGGCAGATAAATTGAGGTAAAGGACCGGGGAGAAAGGGAAGCAGAGGACTCTGGGGTTGGGCACTCAGGCTAAGACCCCCACGTCTGCCAACGTTGACATCCATGTAGTATCAAGGGAAGGCCATAAACAAAGTCCTTACAGGGACTTTCTCAGGCAAGAGGCCAGAACCCTGCAGCCAGGAGGAGGATTCTGAAACGTTTCCGGGGAGGAAAGCAGCAGCCTGGGGGCTCCTTGTCTGGCTTTTTGGCGGAATAGCCCCGGGCATGCAGGAGCGGCTTGATCAAGGTGCTTGGCCAGTTGCACCAGGCCTGCAGCCCGGCCTTGAAAGAGAGATGGCGGCACCCGATGGAGTGTCTGCGGCAAGGTAGGGAGGGTGTGGCAGGGGCCCGAGGGTCCGCCTCTCCCACCCCTACGGCCACCATAGACAGGTGCTCCTGTGACGGTCAGCTCTTCCAAAACCCCGCGAGAGTTGCCGGCCCTTGTCAGGATCCCACTGGCAAAATCTCACATCCCCCAGCTCCTGTGAGATCTGCGAGCCCATCCAGGCTCATAGGATGCCCTGAAATCCCAGTCTGGACCTTTTCCTTGCATAGGGATTAAAAAAAACACCAAAACCCAAAACAAGAAGCCAAACATTCAAAACAGGGATTTTTCAAGGTCACGGGCTGGCTGGCTTTGTGCCTGAAGCAACTTCGCAGAAGCAGCTAAAAAGATTCGCTACAAACGTGCTGCCAGATTTCTGTGAGTTGGAGGCTCGTTTCGAATGCCCTTGGATAACTTCATATTTAAAATGAAAATTCAAAACAAAAATCAGCTCCCTCCAGCAGATTCTTTTGCAACACAAAGAATCCACTCTGCGGATTGATTTTTGGTGGAAAAAATAATTTTGATTTTGCAGACTGCAGAGACTAATTGTAGCTTCGGGGATCCTAGAAACAGCATATTGTGAATTACTAGCTCTTTATGGCCAAAGTCCGTCCTATGGTTGAAAGCCCCCGGTCTTTCGGAGGCTACCCCTTCCCCAAACTGTGAGGCCAAACTGGGGGGTGGAGGTGGGGCGGGGGAATGGGGGGGGGGAGGGAGGGGGAGGCTCCTTCAGCACTGAAGCATTTGCTGCGGACAGAGGTCTGGGAGGAAAGAGCCAAGGTCAAGGGTGAGCTGACGCGTCAGTCGCCACTTTTTCTGTGCTACACCCGGTGGTGGCCGCGGAGGGCAAAATTCACCACCCAGGGCACAGCTGGCCAAGCGGTGGTTGTGTGTGGGCAGGGGGATGTGGCCGACAGGTGCTCACCCCTGTCCCTGTCCCCGTCACCTCCTGAGCCCTAGGAGACTTGGGGACTGTTGCAAAGACCTCATCCCGAAGGGCTCGAGAAGTATGGAAGAGGCGCCCGCCCAAACTTGCCCTCCCTTGTCACAAAGACCACCGCTGCTCCGAGTATAGTGGGGATCGGGTCTCCTGATGCCCGAGCGTATGGCAAAGGGTCTGCCTTCTCCAGGCCACACAGCCCAGGTTACGTGGATGGTCAGGCCCACGTCACCGTCACCGGAAGATAAGGGCCAGGGCCCGGGGAGGGAGAGAGAGAGGCACAGGGAGGGAGAGAGAGAATATGAACGAGACGGAAGGACAGAGGAGACACATCACACATGCTGAATGGGCTGGGTAGGCAAAGAGAAACAGAGAGACACAGAAAGTGATAAACAGAGACCCGCCCATGGGGGGGGGCCCGGAGAGAGGCGCACAGAAAGAGGGAGGGAGGGAGAGAGAGAAACGGAAGGGGAAAGAGCCAGGGAGGCAAGAAAGACACAGAAGCAGGGCAGGGCAGGGGACCCAAGACAGAAAACAGAGACAGACAGGGGTGGAGACACAGGTAGGTTATCTCAGCGGCGGGGGGTGGGGGTGGGGACAGATTCATTCTAGCCTGAGGGAGGTAAGACTGGACCTACTGTGGGGCCCCCCAGCCACCTTGGAGGAATCGCTCAAATAGCTGACACCGGGAGGGACGACTGTATTTCGTTACCTTCTCATATATACTTCAAAGATCTTTAAAAAAAAATTTTTTTTAACATTTATTTTTGAGAGAGTGAGACAGAGCACGAGTGCGGGAGGGCCAGAGAGGGGGGGGGGGGACACAGAATCCGAAGCAGGCTCCAGGCTCCGAGCTGTCAGCACAGAGCCCGACGCGGGGCTTGGACTCATGGAACGCGAGATCATGACCTGAGCGGAAGTCGGACGCTTAACCGACTGAGCCACCCAGGCGCCCCTAAAAATCTTTTTTTTTTTTTGAAGAAAACTGGTGCTATCTTGATAGGAAAAAAATTGTATCGTTTGTATATTTCTCCAAATTCCAAGGAGGCGAAATTTTCTTCATTTTTACTAGTTGTCAGCATTCTGCAAAATTTCTGTTTATATCCCTTCGCTTGCCCACGTATCTACTGAGTTTCAGGTTTCTTAGTGATTTGTAACTGCTTTTTACATGTGAAGGCCATCGATTCCCTGTCTTATTTGTGGCCATCTTTCTCCCCTCATTCGCTGTGCGTTTTACTTGTTTCACTTTTTAAAAGTGTCGACCGTTTTAATAACGTAGCCACACTTTGGATTTTTACAAAATCTCTTCGACTGCTCTAATACTGAAATAATCATTTAAAAAAGGGAGGGGGGGGAGGCGGAGGGAGTGAGGAAGAAGGAGAGAGAGAGGAGACGAGGTGGAAGACGAGCAAACCTAGAAAGAGGAAAAGAGAGTAGAAGGAAAAGGGGAAAGGGGGTGGGAAGTCTGGCCAGAGTCAGAAACACAATCAGCCCCGGGACCCTCGTCGTAGGGCTCCACCGGATGGAGGCATCTGGAACCCTGGAACTTTCTTGCTGTTCTGACACAACTTGACCGTATCGTGTCCCCAGGGGAGAATGTGAGCGTGACCCGCTTTGGTCCTTAAATTGGAAAGGAGCCACCGCTCTGGCCTCCTGACAAACGGAGTCTTCACTATTGGGTTGGGGGGCCATTCAAGGTCCCCGTGAGAAGGACGCGAGGGAGCAGAGGCACGAGGGAAGCCTCTGATTTCTCACTGTGGGGGTGAGGCGGGTGGGAACCCCTCTGAGACTTTCCTTTCTGGGATTGATCCACCGCGGTGGGCACACACAGGGTCCGCCAAGAAGACTTGGGGGTGAAGGGCCGGCTAGGTCTCCTCAACCTGCCCCAAATGTCTAGAACTTAAGGAACGCACTGCCGAGTTTGCTCTCGGGGCCCTAAGGCCTCGCGGGTGCTCAGCCCTTGGGTACCACCTTGAAATGCTTCCCAGAGCTCAGGAGCCATCTTGGAATGGGTCCCCACAATTTGGGTGCCATCTTGGAGAGAATGGCTGCCCGGCCCTTGGGTGCCATTCTGGGATGGCTACCCACGACCCAGGGGCCATCTCGGAGTTGCACAACGATGCATGGCCTTTCAGAGGGCAGAGAGTCTTAGGACCTGCCGGGACACGTGAAGGACACACAAGGGGAGTCACCAGGTCCACAACTACTGAGCCTGCAGACACAGGGTGGGGGGGGGGGTCCGAATTCTCATGCACATTCGTTTCCTGATTTTCTTTTCAGGGGGTCTCAAAGAGACAGCGGTTGGGGTGGAGCTTGAAATGTCCCGGCGGGGCTATTCTACTGAAGGCAGCAGAGCGAGGGGCCAGCGACGTGGCTGCGCGAGGAGGTAGAAGGTGGGGTCCCTTCTTTTCTTTCCTCCACAGGGGACGTCATGCAAAAGCCAGTCGAAGCTCTTCCTGGCGTAGCATGCAGATGTCCCCCCCCCCCCCACCTCCCAGAACCCACTCTCCCGTCTCTACGCCCTGAGAACACGTTCCCTGGTCCAACGGGCAGCCCCCGGCCGGGGGCGGGGCGCAGAGAGGCAAGTGGAAACCTCAGGAGGAGACTTACGTGAAGGCAAAGGCCACCAGGGCCCCACTGACCACTATGAAGTCGAGAATGTTCCAGAGGTCGCGGAAGTAGGCACCCTGGTGCAGGACGAGTCCCAGGTCGATCATCTAGGGGTGAGAAGAGACGGTGCTCGGGTCCCTCGTCCCACTTGGGGGAGCAGTCCCCACCCTTCCAGTCTCTGGGCGGAAGGGCACCAGGAGGGGACACGCGGAGGGGAGCCCAGTGGACCTCCCCATCTCACGAAGGGCAGTTCTAGCCTGCTGGTTCTCAGGTCCAAACCTCGATGCCCCCCTTCACTCCTCTTTGTCTCGTTCCCCCACGTGGAATTCACCGGGAAGCCTGCCAAGAACCTGCCCACCTTCTCCACCACCCGGCCTGCCCCCCACCACCCTCTGCCCGGCCCAGTACAATCGCCTGCTCCTAGCTCTCTCAGCTCCCACCCGCCCCGCCCCTCCCTCAAGCGCATCCTCCCCAGCGAGGCCAGAGGGTGCCCCTGGCATGGGCAGGAGTCAAGTTCCTCCTCTGCCCAGAGCCCTCCATGGCTCCCACCTCACTTGGGGTAAAGGTCAAAGTTCTCCCCGTGGCCCACAAGGCCCCGCCGGATCTGTCCCTGTCACCTCCCTGCTCTCACCTCTCCACCCTGGGTTCTCCACTCTCCTCACTCACTCCTTCCAGTTCTCACCGCTGCTCCAACACACCAAGCGTTTCTAATCCCCCCGGGGAAGCCACCTGCGCCAGGGTGGCATTCTTGAGAGTGAAGTTCCCCTTGGATCTTGGCTCTCTCAGCACTCACCTTGATCACCATCTCAAAGGTAAAGACGCCTGTAAAAACGTAGTCAAAATACCGTAGCACCTGTAGGGGATCAAAGCAAGGGGGCAGCAGATCACTGGCTTGCTCCAGCAGAGTCCCCAGGAACCTAGTAAAGGCCCACTGGAGCGTGTGGCCTCCAGCAAAGTCCCCAAGGAACAGACTCTCCAAGCAGAGGGGGAAACACGGCTGCCACATACAGTTGGGCAGGGTGGGCACTGTACAACGGCCCCTCCCACCCCGTCTCATAGTGCAGATTAGTACGTTGTGTATGAAACTGTCCAGCAGATGGCAGAAAAGTCCTAGCAAAACCACTCAGGGTGGTTTGCTTACCCAAGGGAAGGGCGCCTTTTTTTTTTTTTTTTTTTGTCTTTTTTTTAATTTGCCCAAAGCTCAATATAAAGGAAAGGTGATCTTAGGGATGTTCAGGGAGGACTGTAACCCTGCTGGCGACCGGTCTGACCTCCCCACGCCCTTGACCTGCTGGGTCTCCTAGGTGAGAAGTCCTAAACAAGACCGGCCTTCTAAGCCAGACACTGGGGGGGGGGGGGGGGTGTCAAACTCGCCACCGTGGTCTCCCCCAGCAGATCTGCGGCCACATCTTCACCATGGTGGGGGGATTCTCCCCGCACCCCTCCCTCCCCCCACTCCCTCGTGCGGGGCCAGGGCTGGGTGGTCTCCACCTGGCTGAGCGACGGCCTGCAGCCTGGCCCCTCTCCAGGCCATGCCATAGCACGGCTCTGGCGTGGCCTTGGCAGGAGGATGTGGTTATGCTGACACAGCAAGTGCACGTTGGAAGGGCTGATATTCACTGAGCACCACCACCAGAGGGCGCCCGTGAGCACCGGAGTCCGGTTAGGGTCCTTCTCTGCCCTAGAATCCTCTACGGCTCCGATCTCACTTGAGGTAAGAGCCAAAGTCCTCCTGGTGGCCCCCGAGGCCCCGAACGATCTGCCTGGTCACCTCTATGCCTTCACCTCCACTCACCGTCCCTTGTTCACTCTACACCCGTCACTCTGGGCGTCTTCACCGCAGGGCCTTTGTACAGGTGGTTACCTCTGCCTGGAATGCTCTTCCCCATGTCCTGCCTGATTCCCTCTTTATGGCTTGGCTCAACTCTCACTTGCTCGGCGAAGCCTTCCCCTACTGCCAGTTTAAAGTCCTACTTCCTGGCGCTCGCAATTTTCCAGACCAACCATCCACCCCTGCGAACGATTTGTTGTAATTTGTTATAGTCATCAGTAACCTCATCGTCCACGTTCCTGACCTGAGGTCAGCCCCACGCGGCCAGGGACTTTTGGCTATGCCTGTAGTGTCTCCAGCTCATAACACAGGCTCAAGCATACAGTTGGCACTCAAGAAATGTTTGCGGAATGAATGCACGAGTAGCTGGAAGGGTCCTGGGGATCTGTGTGGTCACACCTCACGTTCCCGTTAAGCGTGGGGCTTGAAGGGCCATCAGGGCCCAGAGTGGCCAGGATGGCTGGCTCCCTGAGTGGGGGGGGGGGGGGGGCAGGTGCAAGGGGCTGGAAGGATCTGGGTGCAGAGAGAACAGTTCAGGTGCACCGGGCGGAGGGCTCAGCAGGGCCAGAGGCCTGGTGCTCTGTGAGCTCTGGGAAGGCAGGGACCATCTCCTACCCTGTCAATCCTTGACCTTTAGCTCTGTGCGTGGCACATACTATTTGGTCATTAATTGCCAAATAAAGCAATGAATGGAAAGCAGAGAGGGGGTGCCTGGGTGGCTCAGTCAGTGAAGCGTCCAACTTCGGCTCAGGTCACCATCTCACGGTTCGTGAGTTCGAGCCCTAGGTCAGGCTCTGTGCTGACAGCTTGGAGCCCGGAGCCTGCTTTGGAGCCTGTGTCTCCCTCTCTCTCTGTCCCTCCCCCACTCGTGTCCTGTCTCTCTCTCCTTCAAAAATAAATAAACATTAGGGGCGCCTGGGTGGCTCAGTCGGTTGAGCGGCTGACTTTGGCTCAGGTCACAGTCTCGCGCTCTGTGAGTTTGAGCCCCGCGTCGGGCCCCTGTGCTGACAGCTCAGAGCCCGGAGCCTGTTTCAGATTCTGTGTCTCCCTCTCTCTGACCCTCCCCCGTTCATGCTCTGTCTCTCTCTGTCTCAAAAATAAATAAATGTTAAAAAAATTTTTTTTAAAAATAAACATTAAAAAAATTAAAACAAGAAAAGAAAAGCAGAGAGGAAAAAGGAATGAGGGGGTGGGGGAGGGGCAGGCCAGGTGGTCAGGGGAATCAACTTCTGGAGAACTGAGGGGCTGTGAGTTCGAGCTCCCACGCTGCATGTGAAGATTACTCAAAAATTAAATCTTACCAAAAAAAAAAAAAAATTCTGGAGAACCGAATTAAGTCAACAAGAGGAAATCAAGGAAACCGAGAGACCAATAAATCAGGTTTGACTCTCTCGGATGTGCCGATGCTTTGCCCTATGCAAACGACAATTTCCTGTGGCTCGGTTTACTCCAAACAGGTGCTCGGGCTCATTTATCCCAGGGAAAGGCAGATCAAAGTCCCAGAGAGCCTCTGCGTCATACCCACCAGGTCGGCCAAAGGAGTCTCCAGGCCCCAGGGTTGACAAGCGGGGGGAGGGGGGGGGGGGGGGGGGGGGGGCACGAGGTTGGGTGACAGAAGAGAGGCACAGAATTATTCCATCTGTTTTCGTGTCAGAAATGAGCAACAACACCCAACTCTAGTGCCTAAGGGTGCCCACGCCGGTGGCAAAACTAGAGTAGCTAAGCTCCTTCCAGAAGGGAGGTCCCTTCTGGTTACCGCTAGGGTTGGGTTATCCAGCGTGGACCCTTGGGGCTGGCGCATTCCCCTCGCGGGGGCTGCCCTGTGCCCCTGAGGGGGCCGAGCACCCCTCTGGATGCCAGTAGTGCCCCGCTGCCCACCCCAAGTCGTGACAACCCAAATGTGTCTCCAGACGTCCCGGGATGTGAACCCTGACTTCAGAGGGAGGGAAAGGGGACACTGAGGAGACGTGCCCGGTGTGGGGGGTGGTTTTGTTTCACTTCCTGCCCCGTGGGGGGGGGGGGTTCCCGGGCATCAGCTGGCCGTGTGGGGCCACAGTGCCCTTGAAGAGGGGAGGGCTTCGAGGAGAGAAGTTTCAATTGCAAGATGCAGCAGGCAGGGGCCGGGATAAGGCTTTGCAGACGCCCCATGGGGCTGGTCCGAGCCCCGCCGGGCTCCCCCAGGTCCAGGAACCGCAGCGGTACCCCCGCCAGTGACAGAGCCTTCTCTGACCTCCTAGAGTCTGCAGGGGGGTTGCTGACCGCTCCTGGGACACCCCCTCCCGGGCCTGGCTCCCTGCAGTCCCCGGGGGTGGGGAGAGCTGGCCGTAGAGAACAGAGCGCAGCCTCAGCCCTGCCCTGGTGCTCGTTTCTTCCGGGAGCCGTGTTCTAGTTATTTCCTTCCATCTCCCCCCTCGGGTCCCCAGGGGCCCTGCCAGGCCTGCAAAGGAAGGGAAAGTGCAAGGTAAGCTGCTGTCGGGCAGGCTTGATTTATGGGGCTTGCCAGCCTCACCAGGCTCCTAACCTACTTAGCGAGGGCGGCAGGGCCTGGCTCCCAGCGGAAAATGTGCCCCTGGCTCCGAGCAGGGGGGCAGCGATGGGGGGGGGGGGCAGGAAGGAGCTGGGGAAGGAGGTTCTGCCACCGGTGTGGAATCTGCCAGGCCCTCACTTCTCAGTGCCTCACTTTCCCCTCTCAACCACAGGCACGCGCCCATTCTTGCTGGGCGGCACTTAAGGGGAGCCATGTGCACAGTAGGTGCTCAAAAAACGGACACAGTTGAGGGAAGCAGAAGGAGCGACAGGGGAGGCAGCATTGGGATTCTGCCGTGTGATCTCGGCCAGGTCACTGAACCTGCCCGAGCCTCAGTTTCACCACCTGTCCAATGGGGATACATGCCAAGTGCCGGGGCTTGTGCTCCGAACACAACCGCCACTCAGTTATCAGGAACCGTTAGCAGACCCTGCGCCCCTAAAAGGAGAGCCTTGTAGCTCTCCAAACAGCTGAAAGCGTAGTCCGTGTTTCTGCATCAAACGAGTTCTTTCTGTCACGGCTCCTGGGTGGCTCAGTCGGCTAAGCGTCCGACTCCGGCTCAGGTCATGATCTCACGGTTCCTGGGTCCCAGCCCCTCGTCGGGCTCTGTGCTGATGGCTCAGAGCCCGGAGCCGGCTTCGAGGTCTGTGTCTCCCTCTCCCTCTGTCCCTCCCCCACTGGCTCTCTCTCTCTCTCCCCTTAAAAATAAACAAGCATTTAAAAAAAGCAGCGTCCTTTCTTTCAAAACTTGTGTCAAAGCCAAGATCAAAGCCAAGAAGTCTGTTGGGTGAGGCCCGGCGGCTGAGGGGATACCTGTGGAGCACCCCTACGTTCCAGGCAGAGGGTGCGCACCCCCACCTAACGCCAGCCTCGCTCCCCCTGCCCGGGATTTCAGCAACTTCCGGCCCCTCCTGCCCTCGGCCCCCTTTCCCCCACCAGGTGCACAGTCACCACTCCCTTGAGGGACGTCCCGCCCCCAAGAGCATACGCGACCAATCAGGGCTTCCCCGCCCCACCGGAAGCGGTGGTGAGCCCAGGGCTGTGCCCAGGGGTACCCCTGACATTCCTTCCAGCCTGGCTGGCAGCGTTGAGGACGCAGGGGAAGGTGGCCCACAGCAGAGCGGCCCGGCCAGGAGGGCGCCCGCGGAGCGGGACTCACGTTGTTTCGCGGTGCGTTGGGCTGCACGGGATCCTCAGCCGCCAGGGCGATGCTGCTCATGGCAATGACCATGAGGATGCACATCTCAAAGTAGCGCAGGTTCAGGATGTAGTGGCACAGGCGGCGAAGGCTGTGGGGACAGGTGGGTATGCAGGGGTCCACTCAGACTGTGGGCTCCCAAGCCCTTTCCTCCTGTAATCTCCTTCTGTCACCTGCCACCACCTGAGCTCCCTGACTCCCAAGGTTCTATACCCCACCCAGTGTCAAGATCTTCCCCCTGGGGGCCCTCTCGGGGGTTCATGGAGCCCCAAGAAGGTGGCAGGGGGGCCCTCGGCCAGGGAAGATAGTCACAGGCCCTGTGGATAGGTTCCTTTCACTTCCAAACAACCCTCTGGGAAAATCCTGATTCCCGGGACGAGTTGAAGAAATACTGCTCTTGATTCTGCAGGAGACGAAAGGGTCTTTTGTGCATAAAATACCCTATGGTCAAACAAAATTGGGAAATTCTGGGTTAAACAGATTTCTTTCTTTCTTTCTTTCTTTCTTTCTTTCTTTCTTTCTTTCTTTCTTTCTTTCTTTCTTTCTTTCTTTCTCTCTTTCTCTCTCTCTCTCTCTCTCTCTTTCTTTCTTTCTTTCTTTCTTTCTTTTTCTTTCATCAATTGAGTGACCTTAGGCAAGTTACTTATCCCCTGTGCCTCAGTGCCCTATCTGTGAAATGGCCGTAATAATGGTGCCTACCTTACAAGAATGTGAGGCTCCGAAGAGTTAATATATGCCTGGCACATAGTAAGGGCTCCAGAAAATCAGTTACTGAAATGATTAATCGCGGGCATTATGAGAGCCTTTGATGGCGTACTAGGATAACACCTAAGTACTTAACCTCTTAAGTGGAGCTAATAATATTAATAAATATGTCACAAAGTTGTGTGAAGGGCAGCAGGGCTGAGTGGTTAAGAACAGGGATGCTGGCGTCAGTCTGTTTGGGCTCTCCCACTTGCTTGCTGTATGAACTCGGACAGGTGACTTCACCTCTCTGGGCCTCAGTTTCTTCATCTGTTAAATGGGCATACACATAGTACCAATCCCATAGGGTTATTATGAGAATTTTTTTTTTTTTTCCAGTTTGTAAAGCACTCACAACCGTGCCTGGCACTAAGTGCCACATAAGTGTTTCCCTAACAAAATAGATAGTTTCAACCAAATAAAAAAGGAAGCACGCAGAGTGAGACTCAAGAGTCTCAAGAGGCAGGTTACAGAAAGCAGTTACCGCCCAATTTATGTGACGTGAGTTTTCTTGGTCAGGAAGCATTTTGAGGGACCAGGGTTTCAAGAAATAGCCTTCGGAAAAACGCAACCCTCCATCAACCACCGTGACACGCATGTGAGAAGTCTCTCCCCTAAGTAATCTTTCCTCCTCAAGGATGCCCAAGACAAAGGGCTATGGAACTCAGAGACCATCTGCCTAGAATCCAAATCCTTGTGGAGCAGAGGTTAGGAGCCAGAGCTCAGGGACCAGGGCCGCCAGGTATGACGGTACAGGTTGCGCACTGCACAAGGCAGCCATGTCTTAGGGGTGCCTCTCACATTACAGACCGTGTAGAGTTGAATATTTACGACAAGGATTTCTAGCTGATGGCAGGAAGGGGTCTTCCCCCCCCCCCCCCAATCAGTACTTTATGAGAAATTTCTTTCTTACAGGACTTAGGAAGGGAGCATCCGTTTCTCATCTGCTCAAACACCCGCTATGGGACTAATTGTGATCTGGGAAGCAACTCTCCCCCGTTACCCTCCATCTGGGCCTGCCCTCTGGCTTGACTTCGAGTGCCCCAGTGGGAGCCCTGGGCCCCCTGCCCTGGCCACAGGCCATACTCACGGGTTGGTTGTAGAGAGGATAAACATAGAGCTGTAGGGGGGCATGGGCTTGGGGCCGTCTTCCCCAGGGTCGTCTTCCTCCTCCTCCTTCTTCTCTTCCTCCTTTTTTGGCAGTGGGTCTGGGTTGGCGTTTTTGTTCACTGTGGGGACAAGAACCAACACAGGGCTCCCTCCGTGATTTCCCACAAGCCTCTGGGCTCCTGTCCGCTCCCCAGGGCAGGCAATAAGCGGCTGACATTTATAACGTGCCTACTATGTGCCAGGCACCACGGTACGTTGTTGAATCCTCACGTGACCCTACGAGGTTTGTACTTGAAAAGCTCCGTTTTACAGATGATGCAGCTGCGGCACAGAGAGGTGAAGTGACTTGCCTAAGGTCACACGGATTTGAACCTGGTCCCAGAGTGGTCCCTGCACTCGACCACTCGATAGACAACCTTGAGTCTGGTGGGACCCTCACAGGATATTAACACAAACCTGCCCCATCCCACTGGACTTCATTTGGAGGCAGGTAACATGAGCCCCAATAGCCCCACTTTACAGATGGTAATACTGAGCTCTCTCTTCGTCAAACTGCAGGGTTTGCCCCCATTAACACCCCTCTCTTGATGGGAAGCGTCACTACCCTCCTGAGCGTTGATTCTGCAGCCTAACCTTGCTAGGAGTCTGTGGGCAGGCGGAGTGTCCCTGAGCCTCAGTATTTCCATCTGTAAAATGGGCATAGTGACCAGAGTCACCCTGTGGGACTGTGGTGGGCGTTTATTAAGCAGACTCATGGAAATCTCCTACACAGAACTGACAAGTAAGAGGAACCATCTAGTTACATCTGGTTCAGAAATAACAAGCTCGGTGGGTCGTTTTCTAAGTTCTTAGTGCTCCTCTGACCCCAGTCTCACATGGTGGGGGGTCTGGGGGTCAAAAACTGCCAGTCTCTCAAGGGTCTAGGCCTGAGCCGTGCAACAGTGGCTAGTCCAAACCACGAAAGGCTGTAAGTGTAAAACACACTGAATTTCTAAGACAGAGTACAAGAGTAAGAACGTAAAATAGACTATTAATCACGTGAAACATACTGATCGTATGTTGAAATGCTGGCATTTTGGACAAATAAATAACACTCTGGGTTAAACGCAACTTATTATTAGAGTTCATTTCACCTTTTTCTTTTCTCTTTTTTCTTTTTTACATCACTCCTTCCTTCCTCCTTCTCTCCCTTCTTTCTTTCCATATGGCTCCTAGAACGCTTCAAACTGCACACGTGGCCTGTGTCGCATTTCTTTTGGACAGCGCTGCTCTAGGGAATCATGGGAGGCCCCCTCAATTTCCATCAGAAGGACCCATGGTGGCTTCCCGGCTCCCCTCTGGGAATTTGGGATGCAGGCAATATCGCTAAACCCTACCGAGTGGCACAGATATTAACCCTCCCGGCAGTCCCGTGGGGGCGGGACCCACGTCTATGCCCATTCTGAGAGGAAGAAACCGAGGGCAGAGAGGTAGGCTCAACTGTCCAGGGTCCCCCAGCCAAGCCTCCGGGGACTGGGCCCGAGGCGGCCGCTCCGGGTGCCCCGCCGGGTGATGTGTGGAGGCGAGGGGGGCGGGGGTCTCACCTTGGACGACGGTGTGGTTGAGGGGGGGCGGGCAGGCCGGGGGGATGTCCACCGTGGTGTGGTCGGGTTTCCTGGCAGTCTTTGCTGAGTTGGTCTGTGTGCTGCTGGGGTTGGTGACGATAAGGCTGTTCTCGGGGGTCTTGGGGGGGCCGGGGTCGGACGGGTCCCCCGGGTTGTTGGGCGCCCGGCGCCCGGCGGCGTTCTGGGGGTTCGCGGCCACGGCGGGCGGTGCTGGCGCGGGGCCGGGGTCGGTGCTGTTTCCGGTCCTGGAGGGGCTCTGGGGCAGGCCGGGGCGGCCGAGGCTGTCGTGGGCGCCGGCCGACCCCGCGGTGGCCAGCTTGTTGTTCCTCATGTTGTCAATGTCCTCGGCCAGCGGCGGGTCCTGGCGGCCCAAGTCCTGCTGGATTGGCCGGGTGGTCGACAGGTTGGGGCCCGACACGGGGACCCCGGAGCCCTGGTTCTCTCTGTAGAAGGCAGGCCAACGAGAAAGGACCCGTAACAGAGTTAGAGGAATAGAACGCGTGTTCTGGACCCCGCCCCAACTTTGTGCCAGAGCCTCCATTCAGCCTACAGGCCCCCCATTAGCTCCTGGGCAGGACTGGGGCGCACGGTGTTTTCTGGAGTGGCTAAAGGAGACACGGGGACACCATCCCTCTAGGGGTACAATTGCCTCGCGGCCTTACATGCCTGCCTGCAGTATTTACGTCCCCTCCCAAAATTCCGGTTTGGGGGAGCACTCAATACAGGCAAGTAAACAACATAAAAAATAACAAAAGTCATAACAGCAAACGCCTCAGTAACACAAGCTCGCAGGTGCCGTTCTAAGCGCTTGACTTGTAACCACCCCCGTGTCCTCAGCCCCGCGAGGCGTAATGACTGGCACCGTTTTACAGATGAGAACGTTGTAGCCCAGAGAGGTTAAGTCTGTTGCCCAAGGCCACACAGCTGGTAAGTGAACTGGGTAATTTTTCACGGGGATACAGGTGTGACGGGCAAAGGGCATCCCAGGCAGAGGGAACCCAGCCGGTGCAAGGGTCCAGAAGTGGGGACAGGCTTGTTGAGCTTCAGGAGGCTGGTGTGGCTGGAGGTGGAGAGGGAGGGAGACGCGGTGGGTAGGAGTCTGGTGCCTCAGTTGCTCAAATAATTAACACTATGCAGATGGACACGAGAAGAAAAGAGCCTGAGCGTTCGGGGGCACGGGGGGAGGAGACAGAAATGTGAAGGGTCCCGGCTGATTTTCCACCTCGGGGCCCTCTGGGACATCAGCTCTGCGAGGCAAGTGGTTTATTTTTGTCTCTCTTGTTCACAGCTGTGCATCCAGCGTCAGAACAGGGCCTGGCACCCGGCACACGCTTGGCCGCTTCTCGTCGAATGGTCAACCAATGCCCCCATTTCTCAGATGAGGACACTGCGGCCCAGAAATCCCACAGGCCCAGACCGCCCATCGACCCCTGCCTCCTCCCATCTGCACACTCACCCCTAGCTTGCCAGACACCCCCCCCCCCCCCAGGAGCTGTGGCCCCAGGGAGGGCGGCTGGGGTCTAGGGCCTGTCTGGTGCCTCCTCGGCTGGCCCCAGCTCCGCCCGCCTGAGCCAAGTGCACCCGGACCCCAGTCTGCTCTGTTCACTCTCACACGCCCCCCTGGACCCTCGGTCTTCGGACGAGGGGCCTCATCCTTCCCCAGTCCCTGTGTGCCGGCCCCGGTAAAGTCCGTTTCCTGGAAACCCCAGGACATCTGTTGTCTATAATCTCAATGACTTCTCCCTCCAGAGGGTTCTACGATCCAGAACTTCTCTCTCTGGGGCTCCTGAAAGGCTGCCCCAATTCTGCTTCCTGTATCCTCCACTGCTCCTCATAATAGCTCACCCGTGTAGCAGACTCCACAAAGCAGCCCCTGTGATTCTCAGAATCGCTGTGGGAAGTGGGTAGTATTGTTAGTCCCATTTTACAGATGAGGAAACCGAGGCTCGGAAACAGGAAGGGCCTTGGCCCGAGGCCACACAGCCACAGCCAGTTGGTGGCAGAGGCAGCTTGGAGCCCAGACGACAGGGCTCTGGTGCCCATACTGCGAAACCCCTACCCGACACCCCGCTTCTCTAAGCAGTCTGAGATCTCCCCGAAGGCTTAGCCCAGCGCTGACGGATGCGGGGGCATCCTTGGCACTCGCCCTCATGGCCAATGGCGTGAGCCAGCCCCTGGCTCCGTCAGCTCATTAACTTCTCAAACAATCTTAGGAGGCTGGGGTCACGACGCCTCCCATTATACAGATGCGGAAACTGAGTCCTGGAGAAGCCGAGTCGTAATAGAAAACGGTTTTCTCAGGCTGTCCCCACCACACGCTTGCTCAGGACACCGGAAGTGAGCAAGAGACAGCACTTAGATCATCACACCGTTCGTTGAGCAGCTGGGAGATCAGGAGCGATCGCGGGCACCACAACCCAGGCCCGATCTGGAAACGTCCATCCACCTAACCCTTCTTCGTTTTAGCTCTGCATTCTACCTTGCAAAAGTCCAGTGTTTTTAGGAGGTGGAAGGGCAGGCCCAGCCGGGTTTCTCCCTTCTCAGTCACGAGAGTGGGCTAGAGGGAGCTGGGTTTGAGTCTCGGCAAAGCCACTCGCTCGCCGTGTGACCTTCTGGGGTTTGATTAACCTCTCTGAGCCCCGGGTCCCTTGTTTTAAAATTAGGAATATACCAGCGGAACCTTGCCTGTAACTTGGGGACTACGGTGGGGATCCTAGAGCCGGTGTGCCATGTAACCATGGGCGAGTCACTCAGCCTGTTTCTAAACGGTCACCGGGTGGGCGTGGTAACTTCCCTGAGTCGCTGTGAGGAACACACGTGTTACCGGGCCGAGGGCCGGGTTTTAAACCCGCTGGGTTTAGAACCTGTTTGGGACCAGTGACCCTATATCCTTCCCAACACCCCTCTTTTGGAATAGGAACGTCTGCCCCACGTCTGTCCCCCGACTGTATTCTGGAGGCAGGGAATCTGTCCTTCCAGTTTCCCGTCCACAGGGGGACAGGGATTTTGCCCCCAAATGGATCTTACCCAGAGTCTCACCCACACCCGACTTAGAGGATGAGACTTAGGATCTCCGAGCTGGTGCGGTGACGGACCGGTTTAGACTTCTGGGGATGCTGGGATGGGGAGGTGAGTATATGCCGCCCGTGAAATGGACACACATTTGGGCGGGGGGGGGGGGGCGTCAGAGGGCGGACGGCAGTGGGTCGAATGGTGGCCCCTCAAAAAATATGTCCAGATTTTCCTAGCAAGAGAGAGCTATCCCTAGCACAAAGCAGGCTCGGGTGAATTTCTATTTCAAAGAGAACCTAGATCCCTCGGCCACCGTGTGAAGAGGTCACACTAAAGAACACAGCAGCTGGGGGGCGCCTGGGGGGCGCAGTCGGTTAAGCGTCCGACTTCAGCCAGGTCACGATCTCGCGGTCCGTGAGTTCGAGCCCCGCGTCGGGCTCTGTGCCGACAGCTCAGAGCCTGGAGCCTGTTTCGGATTCTGTGTCTCCCTCTCTCTCTGACCCTCCCCCGTTCATGCTCTGTCTCTCTCTGTCCCAAAAATAAATAAATGTTGAAAAAAAAAAATTAAAAAAAAAAAAAAAAAAAGAACACAGCAGCTGAGACCATGGTGAACCTCGTGGGGACGTCAGCCTCCCGCCCGCGGCCGGGAGCCCCTCGTCTGGATGGAGGGGCTGCAGGTGTTCTGTCCTGTTTGGCTCCCTCTGTCGACCCTGTCTGCTGTGGAGCCTTCCTTCCGAGCTCAGCCTGCAAGGCCACCGCACATCGATCTCCAAGGAGAACTCAAAAGGGGCAGAAAACTTTGAAGTCAGGCCCCTTCCCCCTTCCCTCTTGGGGACGTGCATCATCTGCCCGGAATAGGCAGCCGGTTGCATAACCCCGTCTGCACCGCGTGCCTCTGCCAGCTAATCACTTCAGCATCCTTCTGCCAGGGGCGATGGCCACCTTGCCCGGGGCGTGTTCAGGCCCCCAAGAGCAGAGGACAGTCCTGCTTCCCTGGGTCACCAGGCTCTAATCCCCACAACCACCTCTGCTGGAGGTGGGACTAGCATCAGGCCCATGTTACAGGTGAGGAAACTGAGGCCCGGAGAGGCAAAGGCATTTGGCAGGTGTCCCCCAGCTGGGAAAGGGCTGGGCTGGAGTCTGGTTCTACAGATTAAAAAAAAAAAAAAATGTTTATTTATTTTGAGAGGGGGGAGGGGCAGAGAAAGAGAGAGAGAGAGAGAGAGAGAGAGGAGAGAGAATCCCCAAAACTGCACATTCAGCGCAGAGCCTGACTCGGGCTCGACCCCACGACCCTGGGATCATGACCTAAGCCAAAATCAAGAGTCAGACGCTTAACTGACTGAGACACCCAGGCGCCTCTGGTCCCACAGATTTTAAGCTACGGCACCACTTGGTGAAGAAAATGTTGCAGTGGACAGCCTGGGGACATGGAATGGGGGTGCTGGAGCCACTGGCTAAGGCTCACTGGGGGTGCTGTAAGATCAGGGCGTTAATGGATGGAGCACCCCTCTCCTCCCCACACAGGACAGACTGTGGGGCTCAGCGGTCCCGGAGGTCTCCTTGCTCTTCCTGGGGTCTGGGTTTCATGGTGATGGGAGGGAGCAGGTGGAACTATGGCACCGAGATGTCAATTCTGGGGTGACACAGATCTGGGCAAAAGACCTCCCTGCTCAGCCGTGTCCAGCAGGAAGAACTGCCCAGGTCTGTGACCCACAGCGTTTTACCGGGAGTCAGGGAAAAGCGCTACCTTCCCTTTGGTCACCCCGGCGTGGGGGATCTGGGCACAGAGGCTACTGAACGATGTAGAATGAATGACATAGAATGTGCTTCCGTCCACTTTTCACTGGGATGAGCTGGGCGGGGGGCATTTAAAGCTGGGGACGCCGACGAAGAAGACAGGAGGTGTAATTGGGGGAGAGACAGAAAGAAACAGAAAGGAAACAATTCTATGTATATTATCAATGTTTTGGAGAAGGAAAAACACAGAGTGTGTCTGGGAAAAGGTCTAAGAAATGACAAAAAGGAAAAATGCAGGTGGCAGACCCCTTAGGCAGGTCCCCTGGCTTGTCACCGTATAGAACTGAAATGTCTTTTTAGCATATATTCGTGAATGAATGAAGGTTTCTCTTTGCCATTCTTTTTTTTTTTTCGTTTTTTTGTTTGTTTGTTAAAGCATGTGAATGCCTCGTCTTGGATTTTTTTTTTCCTCTACAAGTGTCTGAACCTTCACGAAGTTTTATCTCCCATGAGCATTAGAACCTTTCCATAAGCCAAACGAGTAATGCCTCTCCTGGCCAGGACATTTGACGTGCCCATTAATAAGGGAGCAGCAGATTGGGTGCTTTGGTGGGGGGCAGCGGGGATGGGGAGGTACTTTCTGGGAGGAGGGGAAGCAGGGGCCATCTGTGGGATTCGGGAAAGCTGGGTTCTTATCCCACTGCTGCTATCAGCTTGCGGTGCCCGGGGAAAATCCCTTCCCCTCTCTGGGCCTCAGTTTCCCCATCTGTGAAAGGAAGGAGCTGGGGTGGTCACTCTAGAGGCTATGGATGCAAAGATGTTTTTTATATCTGCTGATGAGAAAATCCTAATGGTGTAAGTGACACTGGTAACAGCAATAGCCATCCAGCTGACCGGATGGCTCAGTCAGTTGAGCGACCGACTCTTGGTTTCGGCTCAGGTCATGATCTCACGGTTCATGGGATCAAGCCCCACATCCTGCTCGGGATTCTCTGTCTCCCTCTCTCTCTGCACCTCCCCTGCTCAGTCTCTGCCCCTCAAAAATAAGTCAACATTAAAACAAACAAACAAACAAACAAAAAACCCAGGCGCCTGGTGGCTCAGGTCATGATCTGGCGGTCCGTGAGTTCGAGCCCCGCGTCAGGCTCTGTGCTGACGGCTCAGAGCCTGGAGCCTGTTTTGGATTCTGTGTCTCCCTCTCTCTCTGCCCCTCCCCTGCTCGTGCTCTCTCCCTGTCACTCTGCCTCCTCCGATCACAGGAGTAATATAACAACAAGGATGACAATAATAGTAAATATTAGCAGTGGCAGTATTAACAGCAATAGTGAGTCACTGGTCTCTGATGATGGAGTTAGGTTCTAAATGCTGTATTCTACCTAAATTAGCCTTTCCTTCATGACTTTTTTTTTTTTAAAGCAGGTTCCAGGCCTAGCTCACGACCCTGAGATCACGACCTGAGCTGAGATCAAAAACTGGACACCCGACCGACTGAGCCATCCAGGCGTGCCCCCTCCGCCCCGCTTCACGACTTTTTAACGTCCCTGACACAGCCGAAAAATCTGCTCGTGATGTCCTGCGTCTTTAGTTTTAACGTGACTCCGTTCTATGTATCGGCGTATCTCGTATGCGTGAAATACACACCCCATGTCTCCGGAATGCAGCTACTGGACGCACTGAAGGAACGCCAGACCCGATCGCATATGGAACTTCACCAAGGGGCGTTCTCCACTTGGGAAAATCTCAACACTGGTGGCCACTCCCTCGTGTCACCTGAACGGCCCACAGCACCCGGAGCCAGCCAGCATTTCCAGCTGTCGCATTCCTGGGGACTCTGCACGCAGGGCCTTGCGTCACTTAACTTTGCCCTCTGGACTCTTCTCGACTCAAAGTGTGGTCCTTGGACCAGCATCAGTCTCCCCTGGGAGCTCCTTAGAAAGGCAGACTCTCAGGCTGCACCTGAGACCCAAGGAATTAGAATCTGTAGCTTAAGATCCCTGGGGATTCGCGCACACATTCAATTTTGGTTAAGTGCTGGCCTAGTGCCTATGTCATATAACAGAGCCACTTAAACACATCATTAAAAAATCAATATGATGCCCTCGTGGTGATAGAAAAGAAAACTAACGGGACATCAATGAATATAAGAACGATGTCTGTTTCAACATCGTTGGGCTCCTATATATGGAATCACCACAGGACCGGAAGGAGTGTTCCAAAATACCAAGAACACGAGGATGCTGTTTCCCACTGGGCAGGGCTCTGGCTTGGAACAGGCCTCCAGAAGCCTGAACCCCGCTCTCCTTTCAATTCCAAGGGCCCAGTGTGGCTTTTCAGATGGCTAAAAAAGATGGCTGCCTCATTAACAGCTAAAAACGGTCTGCATGTACCGAGTACTTAAGGTGTCGGCTGCTCTTCCGGGTTTTTTCCATGAGTGATCTCTTAATTCCAGCAACGACCCAAGTGGACCCACCCCATCTCCATTTTACAGACAGAGGAAACGGAGGCCCAGAGACGTGAAGTCACCGGCGCCAGGTCACACAGCAACTACGTGGAACAGCGCCAAGAATTCTGGGGGGGGCGTGGGGGGGGGGCGCGGGGAATTTCTCATAGATGTTCCCAGAGACATGGCACCAGGGCGAAATGGTGGGCCTGCAGCCTCTGGCCGCGCCACCTACTGCACGTGTGACCTTGGGCAAGGCGCTCCACCCCTGGGTTTCCAATCTGTGACACTGGGATCCCTCTGCCGAGGGGGTGGGGGCGGGGCGCAGGGCTGGGGGGCGGGGCGCAAGGCTGGGGGGCGGGGCGGACGGTGGAGGGGAAGAGGTGGAGAGGACGGAGACGCTCCACCAGAGGAACGGGCCCCACGGCCGGCGTCGTTACTACCGCTGCCACCAACCCAGATCAGGGGTCACACCCACTTACTTCCTCCTCCGGTGGCGGCGCTCTCGGTCCTCCCTGCGCGCTGCGTCCGCCTCGTAGGAGGCCGGGGGGCCGTGCCGGTGCCGCCTCCTCCGCTCGCCGCCCTCGGGCCCGTCGCCCTCGCCGCCCTCGCCGCCCCGGGCCGGCCGGCTGCCCTCGCGGTGCCGGGACCTCCGCTCCGCCTTGTCCTCCGC